AGTCTTCGGTGTTTACCTATGCCGCCATCTTGGTCTCTCCGTGATAAGTTATTTTAAATTAGAGGCCTGATGCATGAAATTCGTGCAAGGGGCTCAGCCCCCGCAGCCCTCGCAGCCCAAGCTTTGTCCGGAAGGTCATCCAGACGGTTTTTCTGCTGTTGGGTCTAATTAGCATATTAGCTCTTTATTATATAGGATGAACAAATTATTCAAAACTGGGAGACGTTTTCTTCACCTACGCTCTCATAGTATGGTTAATGTGTTTTCTCAGTTCTTAACTGAATGGGTATCAGCTGAGATTGATGCACTTGGGTGTTCCGTGGGTGTCAGCTGGCTAACATTATTTTTGTTTGACTTATAGCAATGTCTTTTCTGCTACTTGTTTTAGATCTCTTGTGTTTGTTTACTCTGTCCCACCAGCTAAAGCTCTCTGGGACCAAGACCTTGTCTTATTACTTAACATTGTTTTTGCCTCACCTTCTACATAAGAGCTCACTTATAGGTTAAGTTGAATAGTGGGGCCAGTAAGAGTGTTCTTCAGGCTCTGATATAAAAGATGTGGGACTGTTCTAGCAATAGGAATTGAAGCTCAGATAACCACCAGCCTGAGAGGCCAAGGAGGGAAGCACAAAGATTGCTGTTTTATCATGGGGTTAGATATATACTTCTTGCTAAAAACATTCATATTATATGTTCTGATGGGATATGTTTCTCTGAAGCTAATAGAGCTTCAGGTTCTAAAGTGTCTAATAATCTTGTAAACAGAGCTTCATATGTGAATAAGTAAGAACATGAATGCATGATCTCATGGTTAGAGAGGAACTTAGAATTTGAGTCTGGTTAAGGAGGTAGCACTGGAAAATCAGGGGATAAACAGATATCTGAAACATGTGTGAATGTTGTAATATGCTAGCCTCTTATTTATAAAAACTGGAATTCAGAAGCTTAAGAGAGACAGGCAAGGACCAAAATAGTAAACAAATCTTAACATAATCAGATTAGGAGGATATTGCCAGATTAACAATGAGTCATTTAGGCACAACCTGTTCTCAGATTAAGCGTTTTCATAGCACAGAATTTTTTTATTTCATATTGACTTTGTTGTGGATAACTAAGATTAAAGGGCATATTACTAGGGAAAACTTTATTATCATTGACCTTTTAAAATGCTCTATCGAGTAAAAGAAGATATATCATGAGGTATATTCAGTCATTTCTCTCAACAGAGGACACAGGCATGTAAACAGAATATAAACTGAACTGCTTAGGAGGTGAATGGTCTGTAGTTCATTTGAAATTACCTGAACTCATCATAAAGCTCTCTAGTCCTCCCCTCCCTCCCTCCCTCCCTGAAGTAGACATATTTTACTAGACAGTTATTTATCCTGGCTTGATTATTGTTGGTTTGTGATTATTCCTTAAGTTATAACTTGCCATGGTTTCCAGATAGAGTTTTTCTTTTCTTATATACTAACATGAGGAATTTTAATTTAGTAGTAATGTTTTAAGAATTAGAGTGAGATCTGGAGACAACATGAGTACATTTTGGTGCCACCGTATTGAAGACCTTATTTGAAACTTAAATGAGCAAGGATAGGTACCTGTATGATGGGATTTTAAAGGGAGGAGTCCTTAAAGATCAACCAGTTTGTTCCTTTCTTCATTACCTATTCATTTTTCCCCCAACAAATATTTGAGTGTCTCTATGCTCTTCATCTTGGTATTCTTTTCTCAGATATTGGTAATAACCCCTTCAACTCATTATCTCAAGCCTGACACCTTAAGAGCTGCACTGTCCAATACAATAGCTGCTAGCCACAGATTGCTATTTAAATTAACATTAATTAAAATGAAATAAAAAATTCAGTTTCTTAGTCACCCCAACCGCATTTCAAGTGCCCTGTGTGGCTGGAGGCTGTCATGTTGGACACTGTCCATCTGTAAAGGGGAGGTCAGCCAGACTGTGCTGCCTTAGTGTTCCTTAACTCCACCCTGACACATCTCAGCATCCCATCCACTTCATCATCCAACAGATATATCAAGTTCTTCCCTTTAAGAAATTATCCCGTCTTATTATTTTTTTAAATATATTTTTATTGATTTCAGAGAGGAAGGGAGAGGGAGAGAGAAATGGAAACATCAATGATGAGAATCATTGATTGGCTGCCTCCTGCACGCCCCCTACTGGGCATCGAGCCTGCAACCCTGGCATGTGCCCTTGACCGGAATCGAACCTGGGGCCCTTCAGTCTGCAGGCTGACGCTCTATCCACTGAGCCAAACGGGCTAGGGCCTGTCTTATTTTAGGTCTTCATCTTCTGTCATCTGAATTAAGGCTCCAGTGTTACCAGGACTCCGAATCCTTCCTTGCCACACCTGTCTCCAGTGGCAGCTGGGCCTTCCTCTCGCTCTTGATACCATGTATATACCTTTACCACATTGAATACTAATCCCTTGTTTGTATGACTTTTCTTCTGGAGGACCAAGAGGTTCTTTTGGGTGCAGGACTGGACTTTGATTTTGCAGGGTAGGGCCACACACAATAATGCCTGACACATTTCCACAATAAAATAAGTGTTTGTCAAGCAGAGAGAGCAGTGAAAGTGGGTGGACGAAGGAGGCTGAACTAGGTTGTATTCTGAAGTCAAGAGACAATTTGGATGTGTGGAAACTAGAATAAAAGAGGGCATTCTTATGGGGGAGCATCATGGATGCAAGCCCATGGGTAGGAAATTACATGACAACTCTGCTCCTAGACTATAGCCGCAGAGGAGCATTTTCAGCACCACTCAGAGCTTAACCATGGGGACATAAACAGAATTTGAATTCTGGCATTGCAAATAAATGTGTTCCCCTGTGCTTGCTACATGACACCTCTTTGTAGAGGTGCTGGGTTTCACACTTACTAAACTTAATCTGTAATTTCAGAGGAGCTAAAGGAAAGTTTGCCCCATAAAATTAGGCAACATACTCAGAAAATCTGGTTAATTCTTTTAAGACCTTTATGGTTATAGCTTATAACTATAAACTACATAAATATAGGCTTATGAATTATGTTAGACATGTTAGCAGTAGAGTAGGAAAGAAAAATTCATGTGTGCATGCCCAAAAGGAGCCCATCTAACACAGTAACTAAAATGAGTGACTGGCTACAGACCTGTCTTAAGCCAACCCCTTCCAAGCTGTGTGTTATCCTGGGTAAGTCACCTTCCGGTCTTCAATTTCCTTGCTTTTACATGGAGATATTACGTGCCCTATGAAGATTAAGTTAAATATAAAATATATGTCACATTGGCACTGTGCTTAGTCCTGAGTAAAGCATTCACCAAGTGATAATAACAAAATAATAGTTACATAGCCTTTTACAAAATTGGGAAACTCATAGTTGTGTTACCCAAAGGAAGAGTTAATACATGTTGCTTAACATAAATGGTTATCCAGAAAACACAGTCATCTAGATATAATCACCTCTAAAGTGAAGTGAATAGTGTTGGTTACTTTCATAATCATGCAAATAAGATGATCCAGGAGAAGTAAAATTTGGCCTGGATAATCTAAAATCCAGGGACAGTTCTCTGTATTTGGAAATAAAGTGATCACTTATGCAAATTACTTAGGAAAAACCCACATTTTTTCTTCTACTTTGTATAATTAAGAGCGTGCCCTACAGCTGTTCCTAAGGAAAGGGAAGAAAATTAGGTACTGCTTTTAATTTTAAATAAACAAACTAATAGGACGTGTATAAATTAGTGTCATTGAATGATCTTTCTATTTTTGCCATAGTTTCAAAAAGATGTTGACAGTCTTGACTGTGTAGGTTCTCATTATGTAAAGGCCTACATACAATTCATGCATGTCCAGATAGTTCTCTTTAGTAGACTGAAAGCTGCTTTTCTTTCCTGTGGAAATTGCACACCTTTTCCTTCCTCTGCTGGGGCTGGAGGGAAGCCAGCCCAGTCCCTGGTGCCTTCGGTTGGCCCGAGGGAACCCAGCCCGGGTCCTGGGTGCCTGCTGGCTGGCAGCTGGAGGAGGGAAGCAGCCAGGGTCCTGGGTGTCTCCCGGCGGGCGGAGGAGAGAAGCCCGGGTCCTGGTGCCGGCTGGAAGCCGGAGCCAGCAGCCGGGGGGAAGGAAGGCCTACTCTTGCACGAATTTTCGTGCATCGGGCCTTTAGTTATATTATAATTAGTTACATTCATGATACTGAGTTGTTTCATGAACATGCATTTCCTTATTTGTTTTTTTGTTTGCAGTGTTTAAAGGGGAGCTGACTTACACAAGGTGCTTGGTAAAGTTTTGCTGAATGAATAAATGCTTAGTCATTAAATTTTTCTTGTATGTACTCTTTTAACCACAGCTCTCCTTAGGGAAGAAATCATATTGTATTTTTTTGGTACTTCACAGCCCCAGCACATGGTAAACAATATCAGATTGCTCTATAAGTTCCCTGTTAATGTCAGTTATCCTGGAAACACTTTATAGGGTCAATTCAGCAGGTATTCAATCTTTGTTACTATTTTATCTCCATATTATATACTATTAAAATATGTATATAGTGATTGTCAAGATTTTTATTGAATTTAAATTTTTTGTGTGTGAAATTAATGCAAATGTTCATATCTGATAGAATTCTTGTGTGAAGTATCAGTATTATATTCTTTTTGAGCAATAACAAAACCTAAAATACATGGGTTGTTGTTGGGTAAGTGAAATGAGCATTTCAGTTGAATAAACTGACAATATGCTTGGCTTTTTATTTTTCTGCCCTTTGGCTATTATTTACTCTAATTCTTTGAAGTTAATTTTAGAGCTTACTCTAGGGCAGGGAGTTGGAATTATACAGGAATTCACATACCTTATTAGCTGCTTGTTTTAATTTAAAAACTACTTCCGGGATTAGAGCTCCCTTGATGAAATTGTTGAAATGTGAAATTTGAATTTAAGACTTTTTTGAAGATTTGAATGCATTTTGCTTGCCAGTATTTAATTTTGTTTTCTTTTTAGTTTTAATTTTGATTGCTGTTACTACTGAAACCTGGGCCAAAGTGGTGATGCTGCCTGAGGGAAATTTCTGCAACTCCTAAGTCAACACTTACACGGTAAGAGTGTATGACTTTTACCCTTAAAAGCCATTTAATTTATGTAATGTTATAGTTTAGAATTTTAATTTGAAACAAAACAGGATAAATATTTTAATACATCAAAATACTGATATTAATGTATTTTAATATATAAATTTTAAGAATAATAGATCTTTATATCCTAATCAACAGTAAGAATTTGAAAGAAAATCCTATATAATAGAGGTAATATGCAGATTAACCCTCACATCCTCACAAGATGGCTTCCTACGACCAGGCCAGCAGGGGTGTTAGTGAGGGACGACCAAATGACTGAACAGCAGGCTGTGTGGAGTGACCACGCTGGTGGGGGGGCTGTGAGGGGCGACCAGGCTGGCAGAGGGGGCAGTTGGGGTGACCAGGCTGGTAGGGGGAGCAGTAATGGGTGACCAGGCCAGCAAGAGATGCAGTTAGGAGCCACCAGGCAGGCAGGGAGGGGGCAGTTGGGGGCAACCTGGCCAGCAGCAGGGCACGGTTAGGGGTGACCAGGCCAACTAGGAATCAGCGGTCCAAGATTGTGAGAGGGATGTCCGACTGGCAGTTTAGGCCCGATCCCCGGGATTGGGCCTAAACCGGCAGTCGGACATCTCCTAAGGGGTCCTGGATTGGAGAGGGTGCAAGCTGGGCTGAGGGGACCCTCCCCCCTCGTGCATGAATTTCATGCACTGGGCCTCTAGTTTTATATAGTCATCATATTAATTTTTATGTGAACAACAAATATGGCTATATATTTTGCCTGTTTACTTTTTATGTCCTGAGGTTTAACCAGTTCTTTATTATCTGAACTTTGTTAATAATGAATGGGTATGAGAAGTCAAGATGATAAAACTTAAGCCTAGTCAGTTTTTTCTGTCGCTTACTCTGAACTAAAATGATGGTGATTCCAACAGTGGATAATAAGGTTTTGAATTACTTAAAGATTTAAATGGTCTATATTGCTCTATCTTTGAAGGGTAATTTAAGAGTAATGAGACATAGCAGACAAATAAAACAAGTTCTTTCTCTGAGGTCCACTTTCCTCATGTATAAAATGCCATTATTTGTCTTGCATGTTTTATAGAGTTGTAAAAACCAAATGAGATGATGTATGTGGAATTGTTCTTTTTCCCCTTTATTTTAAAGGGTAGAAGGAGAATAACAAAAAGGTTTTTTTGGTTTTGAGATGAGTATTGAGAGAGAACATTTTTTTTTAATCCAGTGTGCCAATGTATCCTTTAGAGGAAAGGATGCTGGAACACTTGATCTCTAATCCTATCTCACCTTAGCCTTGGGAATATCATTACATTAATTTACTGTTGGAAAAGTGAATTTAATTCCCATAATTTTACTTTGCAGATAATTTTTTTAGGAATATGTCTGTATTCTTTGACTACAATGGAATTAAATAAGAAATCAGTACTAGATAACTGGGAAATCTCCAGATATTTTGAAATTAAATATAACATTCTGAAAACCCATGGGTCAAAGCGGAAGTCTCAAGGGAAATTAGAAAATATTTTGAATTGAATGAAAATGAAAAACAACATACCAAAATTCATGGGATATACCTAAAACAGTACTTCAAGGGGGAAATTTACAGTGTTAAAGGCTTATATTAGAAACTAAGTTTTTAAAAAAAATATATTTTTATTGATTTCAGAGAGGAAGGGACAGGAAGAGAAAGATGGAAACATCAATGATGAGAGAGAATCATTGATTGGCTGCCTCCCGGCAAGCCCCACACTGGGATCGAGCCTGCAATCCAGGCCTGACTGGGAATCCAACCATGACCTCCTGGTTCATAGGTCAGCACTCAACCACTGAGCCATGCCAGCTGGGCAGAAACAGTTTTAAAAGAATAATCTAAACTTTCACCTGAAGAAAGTAGAAGACACTAAGCAAAATAAGCCTGTCAGAGAAAGACAAGTATCACATGATCGCACTCATATGTGGAATCTAATGAACAAAATAAAACTAATGAACAAAATAGGGGGCTGGAGAGGTTGGGTGGGGGGAGATTAACCAAAGAATTTATGTGCATATATGCATAACCCATGGACACAGACAATAGATTGGTAAAGGCTTGGGGGTAGGATAGGAAGAGGGTGTTGGAGGGGGTTAATGGGGAAAAAAGGGAACTTCTGTAATACTCTCAACAATAAAGATAAATTAAAAAAAAAAAGAAAGTAGAAGACAGCCCTGGCCCATGTGGCTCAGTTGGTAAAGCATCATTCCATGTCCATGCACTGAGAGGTTGCCAGTTTGATTCCAAGTCAGGACACATGCCTGTGTTTTGGGTTTGACCCCAAGTAGGGGGCATGTGGGAGGCAGCTAACCGATGTTTCTCACATTGATGTTTCTCTCTCTCCCTTCCTCTCTTTCTAAAAATCAATAACATATTTTAGAAAAAGAAATTGGAAGGCATTCAAACAGACAAAGGGATACTCAACAGACATATAAAGAAAAAGACTATCTGAAACAACATCAAGATATCCTCTTAATCCTAGGAGGGCAAACAAAATTATTTGTTAAATTCATTGTAACTATTATTTGGCTTTGGATGAGTTTAGATTGTTTTGTTTCCTTGCTGTCTGTATCTTAGAATGCATTGGCATGTTTTATCTATAATAATAAAAGTGTAATATGCTACTTAGACGAGGAGGCCGAGGCAGAGGTGGCAGAGGCCCCGGCCCCTGCAGTGGCGGGGGCCCAGGCAGCTGCTGTGGCAGCAGGGACCAAGCCCCTTGCCTGAATTTCTTGCATCGGGCCTCTAGTATAATAATACTAGAGACCTGGTGCACAGATTCATGCACTATGAAAGGCAATTAATTAGAAGAAATATTTTAGAGGCTAGGGAGGGACCGCTGGAGGGCTTCAGGGTGTGTTCAGCCCATCTTGCCCAGTCCCAATTGGGGCCGTCTCGCCCAGCACCCATCAGAGCCATTCGGGGCTGGCTGGCTGGAGAGGGACCACTGGAGTGCTCCAGAGCATGTCTGGCCGGTCTCACCCAATCGGCCAGACCCCAGCAGCAAGCTAACTTAACGATTGGAGCGTCTGCGCTCTGGTGGTCAGTGCATGTCATAGTGACTGGTCGAGAGGTCAACCGAACAGTTGACTGATCAGTCGGACACTTGGCATATTAGGCTTTTATATAATAACTAGAGGCCTGATGCATGATATTTGTGCAAGGGGCTTGGCCCCCGCTGCCGCGACAGCTGCCTTTGCCCCCACTGCCGCAGTGGCCAGCTCTGCTTTGGCCCCTGCGGCTTTGTCCGGAAGGTCATCCAGAAGGATGTCTGGTCTAATTAGCATATTATACTTTTATTATTATAGATACTAGAAGCCCAGTGCACAAAATTCATGCATGGGTAGGTCCCTAGGGCTGGCTGGCGATCAGGACTGATCAGGGCCTTCCTTTGTTCCGTGCTGCCCCCTGGTGGTCAGCACATGTCATAGCAAGCAATCGAACTCCCAGTCTCTCGGTCGAATTGCCGTGGGGACACTTTGCATATTAGCCTTTTTTATATATATATACATAGATAGATAGATAGATAGATAGATAGATAGATAGATAAGTCATATATTATGCTTATTGGTTTCTGCTAAATAATTTTCAAATACTTTCTTATTTTTATGATGGTTAGCAGTGTAGAATTGAGGAAATCTCAAGTACTGGTTCCAATTGCCTGGGATAGTTATTTGACAAGACAGTGTCTCTAGATGGTTTTACTAGAATAATTTCTAGGTCTCTTGACGTAGAACAGTTTTTCAACAGTTTTTTTGTAAGTAGAATGCTTAAAAATTTATACAAATATATAATTTAATACTTGTGTGCATTCCTACTTTAATTACATATTAGTGGTTTTATCAACTAGTGCTGTATGTTTGGTAGGGCAGAGTAGCATAGTAGAGGAAATGTAAGTTTAGCAATTAATAGAAAATTTTATGTTCAAATACTAAAAAATATAGTCTTAAGTTTTTGAGCAAAACCCACTTAAATCCTTGCTTCTCATTCCCATCATTTGTAAAAGGATAATAATCTTTTTTTTTTTAAATATATTTTATTGATTCCCCACAGAGAGGAAGGGAGAGGGATAGAGAGTTAAAAACATCGATGAGAGAGAAACACCGATCAGCTGCCTCCTGCACACTCCCCACCGGGGACGTGCCCGCAACCAAGGCACATGCCCCTGACCGGAATCGAACCTGGGACCCTTGAGTCCGCAGGCCGCTCTATCCACTGAGCCAAACCAGTTAGGGCGGATAATAATCTTTATTTACAGTTTCATTGAGAAGTAATTGATATACATCACTATATAAGTTTAAGGTGTACAGCATGATGGTGTAATGTACATATATTGTGAAATGATTATCATAATAGATTCAGTTAGTATTGATCTTCTCATATAGATATAATAAAAATAAAAAGAAGAAAAGAAAAAAGGAAATAAAATTCCTCCTTGTGATGTGAGCTCATAGGATTTACTCTCTTAAAATTTTCCTACATATCATACAGCAGTGTTAGCTATAGTCATGTTGTACATTACATCCCATACTTACTTATTTTATAAATGGAAGTTTGTACCTTTTGGAGGATAAAATCTTGATGAACTGCTGAAGATTTTTAAAAGTAATATTCAGAGTATCAAACAGACAAAGGATACTCAAATGATGCTGCTGATACAGGATCTTCATTGGAGAAACATTAAAAGACTGGCATCTGCTCTGGCCGGGTTGCTCTGTTAGTTGGAACATTGTCCCATACACCAAAAGGTTGCAGGTTCAATTCCCAGTCAGGGCACATACCTAGGTTGGGACATGTATCGGAGGTAACCAATCGATGTTCTCTCTCTCTCTCTTTCCCTCTCTCCCTCTCTCTCCTCTTTCCCCTTCTCTCTCTTCCCCCCTTCCTCTCTTTAAAACCAATAAGTATATCCTCAGGTGAGGATTAAAAAGGAAAAAAAAAATGGCATCTGAGCCCTAGCTGGTTTGGCTCAGTGGATAGAGCATCAGCCTGAGGACTGAAGAGTCCCAGGTTCCATTCCGGTCAAGGGCATATGCCTGGGTTTCGGGCTCGATCCCCAGCAGGGGGTGTGCAGGAGGCAGCCAATCAATGATTATCTCTCATCATTGATGTTTCTGTCTCTCTCTCCTTTAAAAAATAATAATAAAAAATGGCATTTGAGAAAACTGGTTTTGAATTGGATGGGAAGAATTATTCCAAATGCATTTTAAACAGAAATAACACAAAAAGTCCTAAAATTTGTAGGGAACCACAGAAGTCTCCAGATAGCCAAAGCACTCTTGAAAAAACACATACAAAAGAACTATATTACAAAACTATAGTAATCAAAACAGTATGGCATTGGCATAAAAATAGACACAGATCAATGGAACAGAATAGAGAGCCGAGAAATAAACCCATACTTTACGGTCAATTAATTTACAACCAAAGAGCCAAGAACACACAGTGGGGGAAAGGATAGTATCTGCAATAAATGGTGTTGGGAAAACTGGACAGCCTCATGCAAAACAGTGAAACTAGACTACTATCTTACACCATACACAAAAATTAATACAAAAGGATTAAAGACCTGAACCATAAAACTCCTAGAAGGAAACATAGGTGGTAAGCTTCTTGACATCAGTCTTGGAGATAAAATTTTGGGTCTGACTCCAAAGCAAAGGCAATAAAAGCAAAAATAAACAAGTGAGACTACATCAGATTGAAAGTTTTTGCACAGCAAAGGAAACCATCAACAAAATGAAAAGGCTACCTACTCAATGGGAGAAAATATTTTCAAATCATATATCTGATAAGGGGTTAATGTAAAAAAATATAAAGAACTCATACAAATCAATAGCAAAAAAACCCAAACAATCTTTCTAAAAAATGGGTAGAGGATCTGAGTAGACATTGTTTCCAAAGAAGACATACAGACAGATGGTCAACAGGTACATGAGGATGCTCAATATCACTAATCATCAGGGCAATGCACATCAAAACCATAATGAGGTATCAGCTCATACCTATTTAAATGGCTGCTGTCAAAAAGATATAAATTAACAAGTGTTGGTGAGGATGTGGAGAAAAGGGAACCTTGTGCACTCTTGGTGGGAGTGTAAAACAATGCAGCCACTATGGCAAACAATATGGAGGTTCCTCAAAAAATTAAAAAATAGCACTACTGTATGATCCAGTAATTCCACTTCTGGATATTTTTCTGAAGAAAATGAAAACACAAATTTGAAAAGATATTTGCACTCTCATGTTCATTGCAACGTTATTTTCAATACCCAAGATATGAAAACAACCTAACTGCTCATCATCGATGGAGGAGTGAATAAAGAAGGTGTGATATATATACAATGGAATATTATTTAGCCATAAAAAAAGAAGGAAATCTTGCCCTTTGGGGCAACGTGGATGGACTTGAGGGCATTATGCTAAGTGATAATGTAAGTAAGTCAGAAAAAGACAAATAAGGATTTTATTTAAAAGTGCAATTTAAAAACAATAATAGCAACAATGATAAAAACCAAGTTCATAGATACAAAGAATAGATTAGTGGTTGCCAGAGGTGGGAGAAATAGGTGAAGGCAGTCAGAATGTACAAATTTCAGTTATAACATAATTAAGTCCTGGAGATGTAATTTACAGCATGGTGACTATAGTTACTAATACTGTATTGCGTTTTTGAAAGTTGTTAAGAGAGTAGATCTTAAAATCCTCATCACAAGAAAAAAATTTTTTATAACCATATATGGTGATGGATGTTGTCTAGACTTATTGTGATTATCATTTTACAATACAGTTAACCCTTAAACAATATGGGTTTGAACTGTGCAGGTCCACTTACACGTAGAAACACACACACGTTCAAGGAGCAAATGTATTTTCCATCCACAGTTGAGAATCTGGGTATGCAGAGGGCCAACTTAAGTTAACTGTGGATTTTTGACTACGGGGTGTGTAGTTGGTGCCCCTACTCCTGTATTGTTCAAGGATCAACTGTATATACCGATACTGAATTATGTTGTATACCTGAGACTAATATGTCAGTTATACCTAAAAAACAAACAAACCCCAAAGACTTTGACATCTGAATGAACTGGTTTTGAATTTAAGTGTTTACACTTACTAATCATGTCATTTTAGATGAGTTACTTTTTGAGCCCTAATTTCTTTATCTGTTAAGTGGTGGCAATGCCAACATGTAAAGTTGTAGGTGGATGTAAATGACATAATATATAGAAAATGCTTATGTGTATAAAATGTTCTCATTTGTCATCTTTAACTGGTATACCAATATTAGCTTTATGATTTTGTTTCTTTGGTAATTTTCTATGAAGTTACCTAGTAACCCTGACTGATCCTCTTTGATGGTGATCATGTTTTATTGTGGGAATATGTTCAGAAGAATGGAACTCATAGGATGCCAGACTTGATTCGAGGTCAGGTACATAAGTTACAAATTTGAGATATTTCACTATCTGGTATTACTCTTCCTGCTTTCATGGCTCAAACAATTGGGAATTGTGAACTAAAATAGCCATTTAATTTATCTTAACTTCCAGGAACACATTTTCTAGTTGTCAGAAGTATTGCCATCAGGATGCTTTTTTGTTTATAAAAACACAGAAATTCAAGTTTAGTAGCGTGTATGTTAGAGAACAGTTGGCAGATCCCACAGCTTTACTGCTGTTTTGACTTGATCTTATTTTGTTTTGTTCATTCATATGAAATTGACAAAATTTGCCTATTTTTGACCAATAAAAGTGGTAATTTCACATGGTTTGACTTGCTATTTCAGGATATGGTAACGGTGGTTTCTTTACACACTGAACCAATCATTTAATTTTGTATCTTATACTTTGTTTAATTTAGGAACAAATTTATTTTTTATGCATTTTGGACTTTCCTTGTTAATTTGTTTGGTGAATGCCATTCTCAAATAATTGATACAGCCTGTCAGGGTGTGGCTCAGTGGTTGAGCATGGACCTGTGAACCTGAAGTTGACCTGTGAACCAGAAGTTGCGTTGATTCCTGGTCAGGGCACATGCCCAGGTTGTGGGCTTGCTTGATCCCTGGTGGGAGGTGTGCAGGAGATGGCTGATCAGTGATTCTCTCTCATCATTGATGTTTCTATCTCTCTCTCACTCTCCCTTCCTTTCTGAAATCAATAAAAATATGTTTAAAAAAGTAAAATAAAAAAGTAATTGATGCAAAAGAATAAGATAAAAAAAAATATGTCCTAATCTTTCTTAACAAAAAGAAAAGATGCTAGCTAGTTTTTTTTAAAGATTATAATTTATGGATAACTAGGTAATTAGAAACAAAAACTGGAGCTTTTTTAGAATGAAACCTTGATATCATAGGTCATAACAGGTATATTCTGAGTACCCTAAAAATTCTTTTTGAATTTCTAAAATTCTTTGAGATCAGTGTTGTTTAGAAAGTCATAGCTCCTTAGTAAGTGTTAAAATACTATTGAGGTTTTAGCTTCTGAGTGTTTATTGATGTATTTTATATTAAAAAATATGCAGTTGGCTTAATTTTAAGATTGTGTTTGTAAAATGTAAGTCATGTTTATTGTACTGTGAATAAGGAGGTAACCTTTTTTGTTTTATTTAAAAGGGCAAAGATTTAATAAATTTTTAGTGTAAATTATAAATTATAAGTAATAATATAGTAAACAGCTTATGAGCTTTTCATATTGATCACAGTGTGATTACTGGCTGACTGTAGTTTTGATAACTGGCTTCTTGATCTTATCTAATTAAAGTGAAAAGGGAGGTAGTGAAATTTTTTTATCAAGTAAATATTTATTTTTTCATAGGAATGGTGTCTAGTGTTTTGTGTTCCACTTTATGGCTTTCAAGTGTATCATCACAGTATATCTGTAAGCAGACAGATATTATTGTCTACGTATTTTAAATAAGGACTTGGGTTTAGTGGGATTAAATGACCTCCCCAGGGCCAGCTCTTGAAGAACTTGGGGCTTCTGCTTGTTGCTCCATCCACTTCCCTGGGGGCTTGTTTGGCTGCTGTGCCAGAGTGCCAGGCCCCTTGAAGAAGAGCTGTCTGTGTTCAGACTGTTTGAAGTGGTACCTTCTCTGATAGGTTGGTAGGGACAAATTCCCTTCAGATAAGGGAATTCTGTAGGAGGAAAACCTTTTTAAGGAATTGAGTTAGCATTTCTTCTTGCTGTTTTTATAATGCCATTAACTGTGCCTTCTGTAAATATTCTTTTGGAGCTGTGCCTGTGTAGTTCCTAAGTTTATTTTTTATATCTATTTCTTCTGTTGTGATATTTAGTGGTTAACAATTATTTCTTACTTGACCATCATGTTAGAATCTAAACATTAAAATGAATGTTCAGTGATCTCCTGATTTATCTTTTGCTTTTACCCACCTCCATTGATCTACTTTTAGACAGCATTACTGAGGCATAATTGATATACAATTAATTCTCACTATTTAAAAATATACAGTGTAAGTTCTGACATATGCATATACCCATGAGACCATGGCCACAAAGAAAATAGTGACATACCATTACCCACAAGTTTCCTCATGGCCCTTTGTCATTCCCCTCCTCCCCACCCCCTTGTCTCTCCCCCACCTGCAGGCAGCCATTGATCTCCTTCTGTCACTGCAGATTACTTTGCATCTCCCAGAATGTTACTGTGAAAGAGAAACACTCCTTTTTGTGTCTCCTGTACTCTCAATACTTCAATACTGCCTCACTCCTGGGTGGGATTTCTATACATCAAGCAATTTGGCAACACCAGCTGGGTGTCCTGCAGTTGCACTTAGTTCTGATATCTTTCTACCTGGAGATAGCATCAGATTCCACAGGTGGGGTTGTCCCACAAGACTGCCCTCTGCTCCACTCAACTTTAATTGAGAGGTGCCCATGACACCCTACAATGAATGGTTTGGTTGATTAGCTTGTATGGCTCACAGAACTCAGGAAACCAATTTACTTACTAGATTACTGCTTTATTACAAAGGATGTTAAAGGATACAAATGAACAGCCAGATGAAGAGTACATAGGACCAAGGATGGCAGGGTCTCTAACAGGGAGCTGCTGGCCTCGTAGAGTTTCAGGTGCATCACTCTTCTGGTACAAGGATGTGTTCTGGTTCACCCACCTGGAAGCTCTCAGAATCAATCCTTTTTGGTTTTTATTGAGGCTTAATTACATAGGCATGATTGAGTAAATCATTGACCATTGGTGTTAAACTCAATCTCCAGTGCTTTTCCCCGCCCCTCAGTTGGGGGTGGGTGGGACTGAATGGCCCAACCCTCTAATCAAATGGCTGGCTCCCCTGGCACAGCCCCCATACTTAGGGTCCTTCCAAAAGTCACCTCATTAATATACTTAGGTGAGGTAGAAAGGGGATTGTTACAAATATAAAAATTATGACTCTTTTTATTTTCTTCTTTTTTTTTCGGAGCCCCGTGGTGAGCTGGCTGCCCGCCTCCCCCGGCGCGCGCTGGTCGGGCCCACCCTGGGTGAAGTGCGCACGGGTGCGCGGGACTCCTAAAAATTATGACTCTTAATCACGATTCCGGGTTTAGAATAAGAAATTCCAAGGGTTTTAGGAGCTCTTTGTCAAAAACGGGGATGAAGCCCAAGTATATATTTCTTATTATAAATTACAATATTGTAGTAATATAAATGGAATCATACAGCTTATACACTTTTTTTTAAATCTGGCTTTCATTCAGCATAATTAATCTTGAAATTCATCCATGTTGTTGCAGGTATAAATCATTCCATGAATATACAGTTGATTTATCCATTCACCTGTTGATGGATTTTGGTGTTATTTTGGCTTTTACAAATAAAGCTGTGTGAACATTCATGTACAAATGCTTTTATTTGGGCAAATGCTTTTAGTTATTTTGCATAAATACCTAGGAGTAGAATGGCTGGATCGACTGGGTAAGTGTATGTTTAATTTTTTAAGAAACTGCCAAATTGTTTTCCAAAGTGATTGGAATAGTTTACCATATATTCTCTTCAGCAGGGTATGGGAGTTCTGGGTTCTCCAGATACTTAACTAACACTTGGTGTGGTCAGTCTTTTCAAGCTTAGCTGTTCTTTTAGGTGTGTAGTGGTATCTCATGGTTTTGGTTTGCATCTCCTTAATGACTAATCGTGTTGAACATCTATGAGGTGCTTATTTGCCATCTGTATTCTTTCTTGAAGTATCTAGTCAAGTCTTTTGTTCCTATTTTTAATTGGATGGTTTGTTTTTGTATTGAGTTTTATTTATTTTTAAAATTTCAGGTATGTTGACATTCAATATGATATTTCAGGTGTTCAGCATAGTGGTTAGATATTTATATAACTCACGAAGTGTTCCCCCAATAGGTCTAGTAACCACCTGACAGCTTACAATATTATGGACTACACTCCTTATGCTGTACTTTACATCCATGTGACTATTTTGTAACTGCAAAATTGTACTTCTTAATACCTGTACCCTTTTTTTAATCCCCACCCCAGGATATGTTTTATTGATGAGAGAGAGACAGACAGACAGACAGAGAGACAGACAGACAGACATTGATCCGTTGCCTCCTGGATGCACCTGACTGGGAATTGAACCCAAAACCTTTTTGGTGTACAGGATGATGTTGCAACCAACTGAGCCACCCGGCCAGGGTTCCTTTCACTCAGCTCCCAAACCCACTCCCATCTGGCAACCACCAGTTTGTTCTCTGAATCTATGAGTTTGCTTCTGTTTTGTGTTGTTATTTTTTAGATTCCATGTATAAGTGAAATCATATGGTATTAGTCTTTGTCTGTCTGATGTATTTCACTTAGCATAATACCCTCTAGGTCCATCCATGTTGTTGCAAATCCTAAGATTTAATTCTTTTTTATGGCCAAGTAATATTCCATTGTATATATGTACCACAATTTCTTTATATATTTGTCAATCGAGGGACACCTAGGTTGCTTCCATATCTTGGTTATCTACACTAATAAAAGAGAAACATGGTAATTGGCGTACGACCGCTACCCTTCCCATTGGCTAATCAGCATATCCTTATGCAAATTAACTGTCAGCCAAGATGGCGGCCGGCAGCCAGGCAGCTGGAAGCGAACATGAGGCTTCCTTGCTTCAGTGACTGCAGACTCCAACGTTCCCCGCCTCACTTGCCGGCCTCTGAGTTGCAAATCTAATCAACTATGTACTATGTTGTAAATAAGAAGCTAAACAAAACCCTAGAAACCAGCTTTCAACCTGCCGGGATCTCAGAGCTGAAGTTATACATTGTTTCGATTATAGAATGGCAAACAAACCAGATACGAAGCCTCAGAGCTAGAGCCAGAGCTAAAGCTGGCCCAGAATAAAATAAAAAAAGAGAAAAAAAAGGAGCGGTTGGGAGCTTCAGTCAACAACCGCCAGCCTGAAAGCAGCCCTCAGCCCCTCACCCAGACTGGCCAGGCAC